AAAAAAAAAAAAAAAAAGACTGGTCTGATAGAGAGTAGTGAAACCCCTGAGACTATGGCCCCTAGTCACCTTCGGGCCTGGAATTGAACTCATTTCCATGGCTTCCAGCCAAACAATAGACATGCATTTGAGGTGAACATTTACACCAGGTAGGTGCGCTCCTTAGAACAATCAACCATAAGAGATGAGAACAGCAGCATTTGCATAGGGAGAAAGCTCAGAAGGCAGGAATGCATAGGAAAGAAGGATGCAGGAAAAAGGTAACCACAGAAAAACAGTGGGAAGAGAGCTGTTACACTGTGGGGATTACAATCAACGTCATGAAATGAAACATGTATGAACTGTTGAATGGAAAATGAATTTTCTCTGTAAACTCTCACCCAAATGACAATAAAAATTTAAATAAATAAATTGATGTGATCTCACAAGAATTGTTTGAATCTGTCACTCACACAATGACTCAAGAAACACACTGACATGTTTCAAGTTGACAGAAAGTTACCATGTAAGCTTTTTAGCACAGGATGTGTCAGAACTAAATGGTTCTCGTCTCTGTGTTCCCACAGCACTCACTCTGCCTTTGAAAACAGCATGTATGCTATAACTGGAGTATGTGTGCCTAGAATATTCCCCGCCCCTTCACACTGTAAAGGCCTTGAAGGCAGGGGCCTACCTTATTCACCCTTGGATTCCTCTGGGGCCCAGGCCAGTGCCTTGAAGAGAACAGATGTTCCATGAATGTCTGATGAATGGGATGGAAGATAGGGAGCCCTCAAGAGGTATATGATTAGCACAATCGACCAAGAATTAAGTGAACCCAAATGGAGTGGAAGTGGCTCTAACGATAAGGAACTGACTGTAACTACTGTGGCTCAGAGACAGACATGGACATGATTGGAGTAGCTAGGAAGAGCCTGTGTAGGATTATTTAAAATCTAAGGTGTTTGACAGTCTTTGGATGACTAAGACAAGAAAACCAAAAACCAAACTCCCTGCTATCAAGTCAGTTCTGACTCATAGTGACTTCCATTGGATTTCTGAGGCAGTAAATCTTTACAGAAGTGGAATGCCCCATCTTCCTTCTGTGGAGTGGCTGGTGGGTTCAAACCACCAACCTTCTGATTAGCTGTCAAATGCCTTAAGCACTACATCACCGTTTTTGTCAGATATGCAAGAGTATTCTAAAACTGAGGCATGCTGCTTACCCAGAAATGACTGAGTGAGGGCTGAACTGGACTCAATTTTAACTTATAGACATCTTTTGTTTCAGGTGCCATTTCTGCCTTAAACTGTGTAATGACACTTCAAAATCTGGGGCAGTTGGCACCATGAAATGGCTGATGCAGGGACAAACTGAACTCTATTTTGTTTGTGTTCCTCCTTCTGCTCTAAAGCTATAAACCTTTTATTAATTTCAACAGTTTGCTGAGCAGGGAACGTGGCTATTCTTAGACAAGTCTGGGCAAGTCCAGGGATGGTCAGCCACTCAGAATTTTGATGAGAAGTTCCTGCTTTTCAACTATAAATATCTCTTCTCAGCTCTAGCAAACTGGAACAATTTATAACTGCCTGGGTTGCTCTGTGCTACTCCGATCCGCAAATCACTCTATCCATCAACAAACTTCTTTTGCTTTTACTTTAAGTGCATTCTGTGATTTTGCTCTATGACAAGCCTTAATGAGGAAAACAATTGGAGCCTCCCAGACTGTGCCTGCCCCTCCAAATCTCGTTCAAGATTCCCTGTTAGATTGACTCATAGCACCATGTCCTCCTCTTTCATAGCATGCTTCACACCATTATTTATTATGGGATAGTTTCATATTTTTCCCTGCTCTTGAAGGTACACTTTATAAGGGCAGGACCGTCCTTGTTTGGTTTACCAATATGCCACCAGGGTCGAGGTCATTGTAGCTGCTACATAATGTTGGTGAAATAAATAAATGCAGCCTTGGTGGACTGGTGGGTTAAAAACAAAATGAATGAGACTGTGAAGAAGATATTTCCAGTGGAAGGTAGTAGATGGTGTAGGAAGTATGGTTACATACGGGGAGGATTTCACAGGGTATATATGGGGTCAGTTTATATGAAGCACTGGAATCCAGGTGGAAGACCCTGAACTTGACCCATGCAGGCCAGAGGAGCCACTTAAGTCTCTTGAGCAGATGTTGTTGTTACATGCCGTCGAGTCGGACCTGACTCATAGCGACCCCTCCTTGGGTTTCCGAGGCAGTATCACTATGGAAGTAGATTGCTCCATCTTCGTTCCAAGGAGTGGCTGGTGGGTTTGAACCGCCAGCCTTCTGGTTAGCAGTCAAGTGCCTTAGGCACTATGCTACTACCAGAGCTCCCCTTGAGCAGATAGTGATATGAAAAAATTGTGCTTCCACCCAACAGTAGGCACTAGAGTGGGGCCTCTTGCCAGAGGCAATAAAGATCAGGGCCAGAGGGAAATCCAAAAGATCTTAAAAGAGCAACAGAACCTGGAGATGAAGGACATGAAGGGTCAAAATTGATCCTAAATTTGTGGGATCAAATGACTAAGCAACATGCCCTCCTAACAAACATTGAGATGCAGATGTGGGAGAAGGCAGAATGTTGGGGTAGTCAATTCACTAGTGTCACCTTGAATTTGAATAGATTCCCAAGGGGAAATTACAGCAAGCAACTCACAAGAGTAGTCAGGGGTACAGAGTTAGCCTCACAGTGACAGCGACTTATCTGAAAAGAGAAAATGTACTGATAAAAGAATGTGGGGGAAGACTCCTGGGTGCTCCCCAAAATCCAGTGGTTGGGGGAGGGAGAAAGATCTTTCCAGGAGCTAAGGAAACTAGGAGAGGCTTCCCAGGTAAGCCAAAGTGTCAGGAAGAAGGGGCAGGGATGGGGTGGACAATCACAGTGACAGCCTCGGAAGGAATCCACAGAAAGATACCGTGCAGTTTTTTGAAAGAAAGCCATTCCTGGCCAGTGAGATAACGTTTCACTAGGGTGGTGGGGGCAGAAGCCAGACAGCAGAATAAAGATTAACAGGAAAGAAAATGTGAGGAAATAGGAAGTGTGAATATAGACCACGATTTTGAGGGGGGTGTTTGGGAGCTCGAAGAAAGCAGGGTTAAGCAAGGTTATGATTATTTTTAACCCAGTGTGCTCACCAGGCTCCATATGCTGAAATACACTCTCCAACTCTCTTCTCTGGGAGATTAAGTCCACACATTGCACATCTACGTGGCCCAGACTTAAGATATGAGGCTTCTCTATGTTGAAAGACCCTTGGAGCCTCAGAGCAATAGGCACCCTCGACCAGGCCTGCAGCCTTATCAACATGAGGGAGAGAGGCACCAGGACATGGGGCCAGGGGCAGTGAGCACTCTTTCAACTATGAGGGTGGGCAGGCGCCGGTCCCAAGACCAAAGCTCTCCCTCTGTGGGGTGCCTTGGCCTGGGATAAATCCTCCCTCATACTGTCTGTGAGGATGTGTACACAGGAACAGACTGATTTGCAGGCCCCACGGGGCACGTGCACACAGAGACCATGTCGAGGGACGTGGAAGCAAAGCTATGAGCGCCTTCCTGTCCCCACGTGGGGGCCACAGCCTTGGGTTGTCAGGACCTGACGCCAACCTCATCTGAGTACTTGAGGTGAGGATGCTGGTGAGTTGACCAGCTCCAATGGCTCCATGGCAAACTAGAGCTGGACCCCAAGGTTGAGGGTCTTTCACCCAGCCCCTAGAGCCTGGCACTTTGCACTTGGATTTAAAGCCTCCAAAGTGTAAGAATAAACTCCTGTTTGTTAAGGCCATCCCATTTGTGGTATATTTCTTGTCAGAGTGGCACTAGGTAACCAGAACACTGGCCAATTTTTTCAGAAGTGGATGGCCCCATTCTTTTCACCAGTCTAAATCAGGAAGCTCCACTGAAACCTGTCTACTAAAGGTGACCCTGGCTGGTATCTGAAATACTGGTGGCATGGCCTGTAGCCTCACAGCAACATGCAAGCCACCACGATATGACAAACTGACAGATGAGTGGTGGCCAATGCAGGGGAGATATTCCTAATTACCTTGCTGGTTTCAGGACAGCCTATTCACTAAGAACTTTGAAAGACATGGTGGAGCTAGTAGCAAATGGAATTCACTACTGACCTTCTTAAACAGGACGGCTGAAGATGAAAGACTTCATATTCTGCTAGAAGCTTAGAAGCTCTATTATCTTTTGAGCCATTCTGTCCTAGAAGAAAACAACAAATTGGCTTATTAAATAACTCACAGATGGAGTGTCAATTTACACAACATTAAATGAAAAGCTCATATTTTGTTTTGTTTAAGGCTCATATTTTCACAGACAAAATACAGTGACTGAGAACTATGGGGATGACATGCTGTGATAACTCATGCAAAAGCTTGATCTATTCCCCTAAAATTTACTTTTTAAAATAGTGGTAAAAATGTGGATAACAAAGCATTTGACAATTCAACAATTTTCACACATGTAATTCCGTGACACTGATTATGGCCATCAGGTTGTATAACCATCACCATTATCTTTTTCCAATTATTCCACCAAAATGAACAGAAACTTCATGCACCCTAAGGAATGAGTCCCCCTTCTTCCTCCCTCCAAAGCTCAATTTGTAAGGTTTAGTTTGTACACATAACAGCTACCTGCCTCTTCACTTTGGCTATAAGGTTGGCTAATCCATCATTCAGTATTTATATACAAGATCAGCAAGAAATGATTAGAGAGAAAGAAGGTTCCAGGCAAAGTATTTGATTCCTATTATGCAACTTCATTTTTTATTGCAATATTATATCTCCCTATTGATTAATATGCTCCAGTGATGTAAAACTAAGAACTCCAGAGTTCCTATTTGGGATGCTAGGACTTTGGAAGTGGATGGAATTCTGCTTTTCAAAATAAAGAGCCTGACATCCAGAGAGGCTGCCCCACCCACAATCTAGGGCTACTTAACAGTACAGTCAGAAGTTTAACTCTCTCTCTGCTATACCAGACTGAATTTAGATGTCATGGTTTTGAGATGATAGCTTTTATGAAGTCTTTTGACTCACTCAACAATCTAACTTTCAAGTTGATTTTAAACTTACAATGTTTTTAAATGTGGAAGTAATCTTTATTTTTGTAATGAAATACTGGTAATGAGATCAAGTCTCCATTTTTAATAGAGAAATGAGCCCCACTAGGGTGCGACAGAGAGAACCCTCCCCACAGTTCTCCTGCCAGAGTCTGGCCTATGCTCAACTGCAGGAAGAAACCTCCATTCCTGCGGGACAATTTGCCTTCTGGCCCCACATCGTCCTGGACAGGCTTGGAGTGCTCGCACTGGTCTGGTCCACGGGTCTAACGGAATGTGAACCTCTTGTACTTGAACAAGCTGCAGTGCAGAGTCAAATGGGAATTAAAGGGAGAGCTAGTGGAAAACCACTAAGAAAAGAGGTGCATTGAGCATCTATAAGGAGCTCTGGTGGTGTAGGTGGTGAAGGCATTGGGCCGCTAACCAAAGAGTCTCTGGTTCAAACCTACTAGGTGCTCCATGGAAGAAGTATCGGGCAATGTGGAGTTTGGTTCGGTATGAGCCTCTGCTGGTGCCAGGCCCTGTGTCCTCTGCTTTAAACACACAATCCCATTCATGTATTGCATCTCCCAAAGGTTGGTGTGCATGCTGCTCTGATGCCACGGAGGCTCCAGCAGGCCAAGTTCTTCTGCTCAACATCTGTCTGAACAGCTGCTATGTGGCTGGCACCAGGCCAGGTGCTGAGTACACAAAGGAGAAATGGACCCATGACCTGCCCTCTGTGAGCTCACAGTCAGGTGCGGGGAGAGGGAGTCAGGCACATTCATTAGACTGGCATTGTTCAAACTGCAGCTTGTGACCTATTAGAAGGTGATGAAATCAATTTAGTGACCATGAGCAGCATTAAAAATCCATGAATATCGTGGGACAACTTGGTCCTTGGGTATAACATAGGTCACGGAGTTTAAGTTTTAGTCTGGTGAGTAGTGTGTGGGGTCTAAGTGAGCAAAGCCCTAGGTCTTTATGAGTCAGTCCACTCAGTTCTCACAGATAACACTGCAACAGTCCCCCAGTGCAGAACTTCCTGTAATGTATGCGGGCTCATTCCTGAGAGCTTTGGAGAATAAAGAAACAACTCATCAGCTAGGCTGTGCTTTCTTTCCTTGAGATCTTTTCTACTCTCTGTAAGTTCCTGCAATTCTGTGTGCCTGTGTTTGGGGTATCCTTGTGTATGTGGGTGTCTACAGCAACTGTCTACTTGGTGGTGTAACGCAATGATGACAAGAGTTCTGGAGTCAGACAGGCTTGGGTTCAAATCCCAGCTCTGCCACTTCTTGGCTGAGTGAACTAAAGCAGTGCCTAAATTTCCTGCTTATACGATGGGGATGATGCCATCGCTTCTCAACAGATGTGCAGAGAAGAAAAGGAATACCGTATTCTCTCAATTCTGAGACGCACTTTGGCCTCACATGGATATCTGTGAAATCAGCACGTCTATCACAATCAAAGGCACTATCAGAATATAATTGGCAGCATTGTGCTCTTGTGTTGTTATGTGCTGTCGATTTGGATCCGACTCATAGCGACCCTGTCTACAATAGAACGAAACCCTGCCTGGTCCTGCATCAGCCTTGCCATCCTTGTTATGTTTGACTGCTCTTGCAGCGCTACATAAAACAATAGTATGTGTTATAATAACTGGATGCAAAAAGGTAACTCAAGTATAGCACAGACATAGTGCCTAGCACATTCCACAAAGAACAACAAGAGCCGACATGAATTTAAAGAATTAGAGGGCAGTCTGGGGAGAGGGCGTTGAAGCTGCAGCGGGGTTTTGCAACCTCAGTCTCTTCAAATACCCACATGGAAACAACACAAGGAGATAGCAACTTAAAAAGAAAAAGAAAAAGGACAACATTTACAACACAACCAGGGACAAGGTTATTGCCATGAAGCCCAAAACAGCCAACAGGTAGTCACTGAAAATCAAGGCAGCCGATTTGAAAGCAGAGCTGAAGCTGGAAGGGATTGGCTCCCACCAATACTTGAGGGGGGCAGTGCCAGGTTCCCCAGGAAAGACCAAAGGGGCACTTGCCCACTGGCCTTGTGATCCCTTCCATGGGCTGGCCAGGGTTCCTTCTGTAACAGAGCCGCACACTGAAGAGAAACAGAGTGGAATCAAAACGGAGCAAGACAGGGGCAGGAGAGAGGAAGGAATGAGAAAGTCCAGACAAAAAAGCCCAGGAAGGAAACAGAGCCATGAAATAAATTCCAGTCGGCAAGCTGCCACGCCGCCCGAATTCTACACAGAATTCCATACAGTGGGGATGAAGCAAGAGAAGAGGAGCTGTGGGAAGTCAGAGAAGCTTTCCTGAACCCACTTCATTCTACACCCTTTTGGAAAAACTAATTTGCCCACATAAAGGAGCAGAGACAATGGTGTCAGGCAAATCTCAGACAAAACTATTATAAGAAAAACAGAGATAACCCAAAAAAACAAACTCACTGTTGTTGAGTCATTTTCGACTCATAGCGACCCCTCCTTGGGTTTCTGAGGTGGTATCTCTATGAAAGTAGATTGCCCAGTCTTCCTTCCGAGGAGAGGCTGGTGGGCTTGAACCTCCAGCCTTCTGGTTAACAGTCAAATGCTTTAGGCACTATATCACCAGAGCTCCAGCCCCACACCCCCAAAAAGAAAGAGATTGAGGGACTCAATGAGAGATAAGCAAATGAGAGAGAATGAGCATGTGAATACTAGACACCCCTGATGAAGAAAACCAAAGGCAGAGAGCAGAAGAAATACTGAAAACTGTGATTCAGAACAACCTTCCTGAAAAAAGAAAAGCCTTGAAGCTACATATGGCAGTGGAAGGGTAGACACAGCACACACTCAAGACCATCTATTCACAGGGTAAAAGGAGGGGGTACAGTGCATAAAGGCTATAAGTCCTTGACGTGAGATACTATGCAACTTCTTTTGTTTAATTGAGGCAGACTATGAGGGAAAAAAAGTAAGTTTTCATTCATTTTATCAGTGGTAGTATTAGTAGTGTTATTCTGGGACTGTTATGTGAATAATATGATAAGACAAATGAATAATTATGGGATATCCTATGTCTATCATCACCAATATCTTTGAAAACTGGGATTATCAATATGGGAGAAAGGAGGTACAGATGGGAAAGACAAGAGATTAAGCAAAAGCTCTCTGGTCTCCAGTTTGGACTGGAACTACCTAGAAGGTTTTATGTCCTAGCTTTGTCTACTTAAAAGCCCCAAAACAATGACAAACGCAGTAGCACCAAGTATCTCTTAACCCCAGAACGTTAAGAGCCTGGAATGCCTGGTGATGTCAGACAGCAAGGGCTTCATCAAACGCTGTTAAGATCACGTCTGAAGAATTTAGGAGCAAACTTGAGGCTCCCTTTGACTCAAGATGGGATAATCTGACCTTCAATAAGGATAAAAACTACAGTAGACTGAAACCATTCAAATATATTTAGTCATGAGTTGATAATGGTATTTTAAAAATAGAAAGATTGCTCAGGTTAGAGGATGACAGGAAATCAATTCAGTATCTTGAAGACAGGTAAATAAAGAAGAAGTATCAAGCATTTAAGGAGCTCTGGTGGTGCAGTGGTTAAAGCACTCAGCTGCGAACCAAAAGGCAGGCAGTTCAAAGCCACCAGCTGCTCTGCAGGAGAAAGATGTGGCCGTCTGCTTCCACAGAGATTTACAGCCTTGGAAACCTTATGGGGCAATTTTACTCCGTCCTACAGGGTCACTATGAGTCGGTATTGACTCAATGGCAGTGGGTTTGGCTTGTTTTCTTTCCTATATGAGCTATATCATTGGGTTACTGAATGCTAGATAAGAGAAATACCTCTTTATAAAATTATCCAACTAATAAATTACAAAGAAAAACCATAATTTGCTTGTCACCAGTTTTTTGTAGTCCCAGTGATTTATGGATCTAGGTGTTAAGCATCAGTGGCTGCTAATACCACCAGAAGACAGACAACCAGACATCACGTGCCTCCTCCAGTCTTGCCAGACTGTGTCTGCAACTTCTGGATCCAGCTGCCAATTTTTAGGAAATACAAAGAACAGAGGAATGTATTGAACTGCACCATGACTACATATCAACAAACCCAGACTGTGGGAAGCCCTAAGATGAAATGGCCCAGGTTGCTCAACAGATGCACTGGACAGGGCTGGAGGAAGCTCTGGCAAATTAGATGAAATTAAAAGGCTGAACTATATGAAATATTTTTTAATGGGCAAGACTAAAATTTCGAGTCTAGGGGTACATATTTGAGTGATAAAATAATTAAAAGTAAAACATAAGAAAATGGTTGTCATAAAAAGTCCAAAGAGTGGTTACTTCTGGGGGCAGAGAGAGGCCACGACTGGGGTGGGGCATATAGAAAGGCGTCTGGAATTACTGTTGCTGGTTGCCGTCAAATCAGTTCTGGCTCATGGTGACCCCATGTGACAGAGTAAAACTGCGCTGTAGGGTTTTCTAGACCGTAGCCTTTATCAACATAGACCATCCGGTCTTCCTCCCGTGGAGCCACAGGCTGGATACACACTGCCAATCCTTCAGCTAGTAGTTGAGTACCACTGGAACTCCTTTCAGGAAGGTGCTGTCATGTGCCATT